GTTGAATAGGACCTCATATGGTCTCTTTGAGGCGTGGTTTACCGAGGCGTCCATTTCGGCATCTCTCTCTTGAGAGGCCTCCATTCCAGCGTACGGAGGTTTGGCCATTCGATTTTGTACTTCTTCCTCCTGATATTACCCTTGCGCTTCAGGAAAGATATCTTCCGGGGATGTATATTGGTGAGTCTGATAGCCTCCTTATCCCTACATGCTCATCAACATTTCTTGCATGACTAGATTCTGCTGAGTGATATTTCTTATGTTGGCTGCCATTGTCGCCATTTTCCTAGTCAGCCTGGCTCCTACTCCCCCTCTGTCCCTATAACCTCATCTCCTACGTATTGGAGGCCTTGGGAGGGCTGCCTGAGCAGCATGCCAGGGTTCCCCTTCTTTAGGGTGTTCCCTCGTTCTTCTAGGGGCATGTTCATCCGTGGAACTCATCTCTTGATTATTTTAGTAAGCAACTTTTTATCCCTTTCTTTAAGAGGTCCTTGGTCGTTCTTGATGTAAGGATACTCCTTTTTCAAGGACAAGCACTCTCTCGCGTCGATCTTTTTAGAAATGTAACCTGACCTTTCTTCCCACTGTATTCGTGGTTAAATGTAGTTATTTCCCACAGACGTCGCCAATCTGTTGACCCCAAAAAATGAACTCAACAGACACCGAGCCCACTCTTGCCACGTCAAGTATGGTTCCGCACGTTTTTACCGAAATAGGAACGGTAATCGAACTGTAGTGAACGTGGGAGGCACTTTCAAAAATGTTAATGTTCTGGCAATATGATTCCAGGACAATCACACTATCAATAATCTCCTTTGAACGAAAAATGATAATGAAATTGGTGTGCTGTCTTAGGCACCCAAAAATAGTCCTTAAACCTCTAAAACTAATGTAATAATGGAAGTAAGGATCGATCCCACGAAGAGTGTGTAATTCAATATTTATGCTTCGTACAATGATTGGGGGGATTTTGTATTCAAACAATTGTAAATAACTCAATTAATAACAATGCCAATTAAATTAACGAAAACAATCAAAAGACAAACCTTGGTCTAAGTCCACATCCA